GGTCTAGTCATATATGGAAATAAAACGAACGATGACTACATTTTTCAGACTTACTTCCAGGTATAAATCATCTTCGCTAGCCAAGGTTTTCGATCCACTTGGCTCCCCTTTGGTTTATCTGTCCACTCCGCTACCCTTCACTTTATGGGGAGTGCATGATCTTTGGCTAGCAATTATGGGTATAAATAGGATTAAAACCTGGTACTAGGCAAGATTGGTCGTCCAACAAATTTCACCTATTCGTCACAGTAGTGCCACTAATCAAGGTCCTTGGATAAGAAATATTTACCATAAAGATGGTGTAATGCAAATTACTCAGCATAGTCCGCATACACGTCGAAAATAGGAGTAATTTTCTTGAAGAAGTATTTGTTTCAATGGCCGAAAAGCATATTTTTATTAAGATAACATTGTAAAAATCTACACTTAATAACAATGACAAGATTGTTATTTTTAATACCGTGATTAATGATTGAGATTCCAAATTATTAAGATATACATTCAATAACATTACTTAAAAATCTAAGTGCCGAAGAAAATGATTAATATTCCTAGAAAAATAAAGAATTAAGTCATTTTAGAGCAAAAACTCCAAATGGTGTCGATGACTTTTCTTGGAGAAAAAACCTGATTTACCTTGAATAGAAAGGACATATATCAAACCCGACAGTAAAAGGTAAAACTTACATTAATGTCTTGTTCTCTTTCATCTTTATTCTTTATTCAGATACATACACTATAATTTGAATCTCATTTGTGTGTTTATGTAAGTTGTGAAATGAACATAATAATTTTTTTTTTAAATGTTTAATTACCATAACTATATTTTTAGTGCAAAGATACATTGTTTAATGTTCAAGATTACAAAACTATCTGAGCAAATGATTAAATATATAGCATTTAAATTTGTTTGAATGTTTTAAAGAGAAAATGAAAGAAATTAAAGAATTCTAGAAAGTGATTGTGAATTGATTAAAAGGAGTTCCATGTATTTTTTTTATGTATCAAAGTACTTTATAGAACTTGGTAAAAGATTTTCGATCCTGGTTTTAGTGAACAGAACTTTTAATCTTATGAATATATAAATATAACTGATTTGTTATTTAAAAAGTTCACAGATCAGTAAATACTTCTAGATATTCGAAAAACTAACGACTGAAATCTGATGCAGAAATAAGCTTATCAACAAAATATGAATTTTTCCAGTACTTGATGAATTGCCAAAATTAAAAGTCTTGCAAAAATGTTGATGTTTATATAAACCTACATTTATTTTCTACTTGCTTACGACTTCGCAGCATGAAGGAACTTGATGATTAAAAAGAATAATTATAAGGAGCCTTTTCATTTTTCATCATTTTTTTGCAAATTCAATTTCCCATCAGGTATGCCCGTATTTTTATTGCAAATGAAATTTGTTCCTTTGTCGTCTAACGTGGGTCAGTTACCAGTTGACCAGTTCCTTGGTCAGTTACAGTAGAAACGTGGGGGGGGGGGGGTTCAGTAACTTTAACGCTCTGAGAAAACAAGGATCACGAGAGGGGAGTTTCCCAATAATTTTTTCAGTATATTCTTCACTGTAGAATACAGAGCTAGTTTCCAATTATGCCTCCTTAACTTAACTTGGCCCGTATATTTACTATACAATAGAAAAACGAATCCAATTTTAAGTTCTGCCCCTGCGAAAACTTGGGTAACCCTTTTTTTTTTTTTTAGCTTGTCAAGAATTACCTGTTATCTGTTAGTTGCAACCCTATCCCCATCTGAAATTGTTTCTACAGGCCTGAATAAAAATCATCAGTATCTAAATTATTATTACTTTTTCCTGGTTTCTTTGTGAAAATTGATAGTATACAAAAGCTTGATATAAATGTTTATAAACCATCTTATCAGAAAATGTCTCTAATATCTTAAAAGATTATCATTTTAAAATATCAACAAAAAGAAATCATTGTATATTTCAAATACTATCTTTCCATCAAATTACTTCCATGTGGCATGAAAAGCTGCCATTTGACATGCTGTTCATTAAGATATAGTTTATGAAGACTATCCAAATATTATTGGTGGAAAGGTCATTCAGGGTCAAAACCCTGTCATGTCCAATCAAGAAATTAATTCAGCGTTCGTAAAGAGTTAATACTTCAAAGACCAACTGCTGCTGAGCACGTGCTGAATGTGATTATCACAGCTCGATCAAACATATCGGTAAGAGATAAAAAAGCAATATCTCTTCAGCTCAGCAATATATGGTATAGAGTGTGCAGAATCAATCTATAGAATTTTTTTTACTGAATTTTATTGAGAATATATGTAGATGGTAAACATTTACAAAATTGCTGATGATGAAACCATTAGCATGAGTCTTTGCTAAACTAATTTTACATGTCAGAAAAGAAACTATAAATTAAAAAAAGATTACAGTATTTCCAGATTTACAGACATTTCAACTCAATATTATGTAAATTTGAAATCAAAATCCCAAAAGCAAGCTTAAGCCTTAACATGAAAAAAGTTTCTACTTAAATTATATCAAAATTGAATTTCTCGGTTTCCTCATTTGGTCGATTTACATCTCCTAACATTATCCAGTTGTATAATTGGGCTTTTTCATTGGAATTTTGATCCGTTTGTCCAAATTGTCTTTTCTAGCTAATCACGGTGGTTCGATGGCGACATGTACACTTTCTGCTTAATTAGATTTGGACTTCTTTGAGCGGCCGCGTCATTGTGTGATTACATTTACCGGCACGTGTAGTACGCATTTGTCATCCATAGCACGAGGGCAGGAACAAGAGTTTACAGAAATAGAATTTAGATGGTATTAATTCTAGCACTAATCAACAAATTGAACATTTGCAAGACAAAGCCGACCGGCTTGGCATGAAACTCATATCCTTTTCAGTAAAACCTTGATGCCAACGAAAATCTTAAGTAAATCAAATAACGGAGTCTGATTATCGTGAAAGTGTCGTCTGCTCGGAATAACTACTTTCTGATTACTTTCTGTCGCTAATCATCGATATCACATGAAAACAGATGATGTCCATTTCTTGCAATATTTGCTTATCGAAATTTGCTGCACCAAATAAGCAATAATGTACTGTTAAAGAAAGACCAAGAAAATGCAATACAAAGAGAAATTTCTACACGGATGGCTTTGATTTTTTTTAAATCTCTCCTTATTTTCTTGTTTAATTCTCTGCATTCTAGAAGATAACGAATTAAAATTTTTAAGCTAGAATTTCGATAAAGAATTCTATGCAAACAATGTAAAAAAAAAGAAAGAAAAGAAATGGAAATTTTAAACAAATTTCCCTAACACATCAGAACCACAGAAAGATATATCTATACGTACATGTACAATAATTAATTCAAAGAAATACAGAAATCAAGCAGACGATTTGACAGTTCATTGAAAACTCCCCCTCAACATGTCTGTAATCTTCTTATGCATTCAAAAAGAAAGATTTATAGTTCGTAAATCATTTTGATCAGACAAGATTGATTGAAAAATCATGCAAAACATTTGTTAGACTTCCTGGAACATTAGACAGTCCTCTAAGGTTGGTCGCCGGATGTTTTAGCTATTGGAGAGTTTAGCTGATTTCCGTGAGGTGGACATACATACCCGACCCTACACACCCTTTAGAGGCGGTTGCATATATTCCAATTAGCCTTGTTATTTTACGTTTGATTTGAATTACTTTTTGCATTTGATAAAGATAAAGATTGATAATTATTTTCTTTAGAATAAATTCTTACATTTTATTTTATTTATTATTTTTTTGTTTCACAGAGAACAGATTTGCCGTACTTTTTCGTCTTTAAATCAATCAAAACACCCCAAACCAAAACATAGCAAAACTAAATCATACAATTCATTTGAATGAGGCAACTTAAAAAGCAACGTGAATTTATATATGACATCATATGAACATGAAAATCAGAAAATAAACCCTGCCAAAGCACCACCCGTCGGTTGATATGATTTCTCGTCAGCTCTTTGCGTACCTTGTAAAAGTGGTACGCACATTACAAATTTCTGCAATAGGTTTAGTCTTTATGTAGTACAAATAAAAATATTAAAATATTTACATTTTCCCAAATAATCTTGCTTTTATATTATATTTTATTGGATTTTTAGATACTTTCATGCATAGCAAACAAAAATCTAATTTGACCAGGTCTTGAGAGAAGTCAATATAAAAGATTACATACTCCTGTATACATCATTTTAATTTTTTATGACTGTCTTTTATTGGAATTAGCCTTTTAAGAAGTAAAATATATTTTTAAAAAAGTCTTTTTGATAAATATTTTATATAATATTTTATTTTATAATATTTTATAAAAGTTTTTGCATTGTATAAAGTAATATTCTTAAAAGCATTTTTGTTTTTACCTATATACCGTCTAATATAAAAGTACTGCGAAATACTATAGAAGATGAATAATTCATCTACTAGATATGATAAATGTGATAAGACATCTTGTTTTCTTGTCATACATTCATATCATATGGAAAGGTTGAGTTCAATAGCCATGACCTCTTGGAATAAGTTACTTCTAATACAGATTTAATTCGCTAGCTATATTAAGACAAATCTAATAGCCTATACCATTAAGTTATGTATTAATGTTTGCAATGATCCAATCATACCGAACGCCTTCAAGTGACGATTTCTTAACTTAATGATTGTAATTCAACACAAGTTGTGACTTTTTGATACAGTTTGGCAAATCAGCCAATGTCATTTTTGTTAAAAAATGTATCTACAATTGCATTGAATAATTCAGGTATTTATTGTTATGTCAGATATAAAGAAGTACACTTCATTTTTTCTTTTTAAATTACGAATGATCATAAAAATAGTATAAAGAGAATTAAAAAATATTAAAGAGAAAAAAAAAACTGAGAGAAGAACGTATTTAATGAATATACATATTTGCTGATAATTTTGCAATTATTTGTAATCATTTTGTGCATTATCTTGCAGTATTAAAGTGCCTGTCTTACACGTGTTTTTGATCCTTGTTCAGTGCTTAACATCTCACCGGACTTACTTCCTGTCTATCGCTGGAAACAACAGAGAACATAAGGATAATGTTAGCAGTAGTAGTAAGTTTAAATACGTCCATTTAACGGGGGAAAATTTTGCTATACTCTACCACTTTAACTTCTTAATGTAGATATATATATATATAAACTATTTAATCTGCAAAGATTAAAATAAATGTGCCTATATCCTTTAAACTACGAAATATTTTGCAAAACTTGTATCTTGAAATTTGTGATTTAGGAACTGAACAAGATGATCTTTTATGTTTTTTTTTAGTGATACACAGTGTTGTTTTTTGCATCAAAAGGAAATATTTGATAACATTACCCATTTATGAAACGTCCCAAATCGTTTCATTATTATTGTATAAAGAAGTTTCAAGAGAGATTTGATATGATTTGAGTATAAATCTCCTAAATATCATACCCAGTAATATTCTTTCCCAAATTTAGATTATCATGTAAGACTACTACATATATTTTATATTGTATGTTAACATTACCAAGCGAGTTCTCCCCGTATTAAAATAGTTTGTTTATTTGTTTATATGCATATGATTCTGTGTTCATCGCAATGTTTCGCCTGTGTTTTTTTTGTTACAATGTCATTTTTCTTATATTCATATTTCCTTCATGATATTTTGTAAAGAAAGAAAATTAAATAAATAAAGAAAAAAATGATTGAGTTCTATTCATCATGCCTAAATAATGTCAAGTTGTAAATTTTGAATTTACAGGGTGGCAGTAAATACAAATTTACTGCTTCCCGACCAATTCAAAATTTACAAAATGACAACACTGTTAAAAGATACAAAATCTAAGCATTGCAAGTTTAGTTATGTGCTATATTGTATCCCGAAAATATAAAATATTTTTTTCCTTCTTTATGTTCAATTGAACAACATTACTAAGTATAAAAACAGGACATGCATTCCACTACTTATACTAGACACTTCGTGTCCACTGTAGATGAACATGCGCCACAGCTTACTTGGGTGTTCTTATACGGATCCACGGGTTTTTGTCATTGAATTTCTCTCATTCTCATTCTCAAAGATTACTAGAATTAAAGATTCAATGAAAGTCCGTATCTAATGAATAAAATAGATAAAATTTTTATTTAATTTTATCATTAACTAAATTTTTTGCAGCTTTATTAGCATAACATTTTGTTGTCTTTCTTCCATAACATTCAGCTATAAAAATGCTTTAACGATGCATCTTAAGTTATTGTAGCAAGGCAGATCAAGGTCCACAAAGACCAAAAGGGGCTCAAAATAATTTCCTAATTAAAACTAACGAAATTAAAATTTCATAATTTAAAAGCAGAGAAGTTGACCTTTATTTTCTACAGACATAAATTTCAATACCTAAAACACATTTTGTCTGTTTCCTTTCACATCAACGCCAAAAAGACATAACATCATTTGCCTTTGATACATGAATGACGTTATGTTAAAATATTTGTACAGTAGCTAATAAAAGGTGCATTTATCATTTTAAGCAGCCAAAAAAAAAACCATGTTAAATTTTCTGTTTTAATTTATATTTAATGAAAATGCACGAGTTTTGAATAATTAGTAAACTGAAATACCAATCATGTAGTAAAAAAATATTTATTTTTGTTGTAATTATATTTGAAAATGACATTTACATAATTTTACTATTCCAGGTTAGATGTAAATGTCACACTATCCATTGGTTTCGGAATTGCTCCCTTTACTCTCTCTCTCTCTCTCTCTATATATATATATATATATATTATAGTATATTATATAAAGTAAATGGAAGCTATTTATCCTCAAAGAGGATTTGTGAGAAGATATGAAAAATAAAAAATGAGGACTGCAACATTAACAAGATGTGTTTGTGAAACACTGATGCCCCCGTATGGCAGCTTATGGCGAAGGTTAAAGTTTCTCAAATGCAAGTCAAAATCCAGGCCAAAAGATAAAAAATGTTGATACCCAAAGAAAGGTCTTGTCTATATAGGAATATACCTGTGAAATTTGAAAGACCTAGCTGCAACTGTTCAAAAGTTATGGCGCTGGTTAAAGTTTTTAAAAATAAAAGTCAAATGTCAAGGTCAAGGTCAAAGTGGTTGGTATCCAAAGGAAGGTCTTGTCACAAGGATTACATATGTGAAGTATGAAAGCCCTAGCACCAACCATTCAAAAGTTATGGCCAAGGTTTAAGTTTTTCAAAAGTAGGTCAAACTCCTAGGTCAAGGTCAAAGGGTCAAAGGCGTTGATATCTAGAGGAAAGTCTTGTCACAAGGAATACACATGTGAAGTTTGAAACCCCAAGCACCAACTGTTCAAAAGTTATGGCCAAGGTTAAAGTTTTTCAAAAGTAGGTCAAACTCCAAGGTCAAGGTCAAAAGGTCAAAGTTGTCGGTATCCAAAGGAAGGCCTTGTCACAAAGAATACACATGTGAAGTTTGAAATCCAAAGCACCAACTGTTCAGAAGTTATGGCCAAGGTTAAAGTCTCATAAAATTTTGCAAAAGTGGGTCAAACTCCAAGGTCAAGGTCAAAAGGTTAAATATGATGGTCCCAAAGAAAGGTCTTGTCACAAGAAATACACCTGTGAAATATAAAAGTCATAGCTCCAACCAATCAAAAATTATGGGCAAGGTTAAAGTTGACAACAGACAGACAGACAAACAGACAAACACACAGACAAACGGACAAACAGACAAACAGATAAACAGACAAACAGACAGACAGGACAAAAACAATATACCCCAGGGATCTTTCGATCCGGGGGCATAAAAAAAAACGATGAAAACTAACTTTTCATAATTGGTTTATTGAAAGAAAGAAAGTAATGAGCACTGTTGTACACCGTGAATACATTTTCTTTTCATGTATCTTTGTTGGGCTTTCTTTGTTTTTTAAAAAATTGTTTTATTAAAGCTAGTTCAATACTTATTCACTGGCATGTTCACTGATAATCAAGTATATAAAGTTCAGTAATCAAAATCCTTTTAAAATGAATTACTTAATTATAAACATTAAACAAACTGATTAAAGTCATGTTAGATAATATGGGATTACAAGTTAATCTGAAGGTGTGGTACTCATATTAAATGCATTTTTATTATAGAATTGAAAGAAAGAAGAAAAAAACCACCAGATAGCCAAATAAACTTATTATTAAAGACGTCTCTAGAAATAGAAGTAATGATTTTTTTTAATTCACTCATAATTGTCAATCACACTTGCTTTTTTATGCATAAATAAGCGGTTAAAAAGAGTGTACATTTAAAATCTAATTAGAACATAGAATGATCAGAATAATTATTCCACCATATATGTCAAATTTGTAATTAACATTGCATAAAGGAATTGTTAGAATAAAGTTGATTATTAATCTAATTAGAACATGAGAGTTATCAGAGTTATCTATTCTTTTAACATATCAAACCTATAATTAACTATCGTGGACAAGATTTGTTGTCTGTTTTTGTCACATAAGCATAAACGTCGACATCAGACGAGAATAAATTGAAAGTACAAGGAAACAAAAGAAAAGGTGAGAAATTACCAGTAATTACCAAGCAATTAAAAAACTCTGTGATGCAGTATTTTAGTATCCAAGCACAACCTTAAAAAATGTAAGGCAGATCCGGTATACAGTTCTTTATTAACCTTGAGCTTTACAGCTTATCACTACAAATAAATACTTAACACATTAATATGTACATGTACAAGTAATCTAACATGAGAATGTAATAACTGTGTACATATGACGTGATGTAGACAATAAATAATTTGCCATAACTTTTCAAGTGTTTATGCTCAAGTAGATAAATTTACTTCATACAATGAATATTTCATGCACATTTTACGGGAATCAACACTTGCAAAATTTAACACACTGAAGGTTTTTTTCATATCTGATATATTTTTGCGATTGATTTAAGCAGTGCAAAATAAGGTAAATTGACAACATAAATTGAATACGAAAAATTAGAATGAAATAATGAAAGGTGATCATTCTCAAAAGTAAATTTAAAGAATACAAATTATGAGCAGAACCAACATGGACCCCTAAAAACAGAGGTAGGATAAGGTGCCATGGTTAAGTAATCTTTCCTTGCTGACCGGGTCTCACACACCGTGTGACTCTTGTCATAATCGGATAAACTTAAAAATCCGTAGACAATTCATTGTGAAAATAATGGCCTAACAATTTTTATGAAGGACGTCAGTCAACATTCGACCCTACGACAAATTGTATTTGCATTGTATCGACCTTAGAATTTGCCAAATGTTGATTAAAGCGAGATTGTTCATACCCTTGTATCATCAACTTATTTGTCAATAACATGCCTCTTTTTTTTCGTACGTACGTAGAATAAACAGGGAGACATAAACTCTATATATGCAGGTGATGATGGTATACTGTAGATTGGCAAATAATCACGATGATTTTAATTTCACTATGTTCGCAATTCATCATTTTTCCGCGAAATTAAACCAATCGTGAATGCTATCATTATTTTTAAAAAACGTTTAAATGCTTATACGAAATTTAAATTAAAACCATCGCGATTGGTACTTTTTGAGAAATCGTGAAATTTGAATGCCGTGGAATTAAAACGACTTACAGTATTGCTACTTAAATAAGGAAAGTAAATGATAGAAAAAAAGTCATCATAAAGTAACCATAAATTTAGTTGTCAGTTTATAATTAATGTCTTTCTCTAGTAAAACATCCAAATATAAAACAAATGTGTCAGACTCTGTGGTGTCTTTTATTTCGAGTTCAAAGGGATATAGCAAATCAACGTAGGAATATTATTAATTAATAAAACGTCGTCTATATATCTAAATGCTAAAATGAAGGCCACTGCAAGAGATTTCTTCTTTTCGTGTAGAGGTTTTAAATAAATTCTGCTTCATGCATAAATACAAAAATCAGGTCTGTTAATAACGGGGCACAATAAATACCCATGGTAATTCCAACAGATTGCTGGAAGACCTGGTCACCGAGCAACTTAGATATTATCAATAAAAAACTCGAGCATCTTTTTAATATCAACTTTAAAGTAGTGTGTAGAATTAGTATATTTTTACAAAATAATTTTGCAAATGACCAATGACAAGGTAAGTAAATTTACGAGTCCATTTTATTGAAGAAGCAGTCATCTAGATGTCGAAAAAGTCTCGTCTTTAATTTATCGTGGGGAATGGTTCTGCAAAATGTTGAAAAGTCTTACGTTTCAATGATATTGATTTTGGCAAAACTTTTTTATTTCAAATTTCCTAAAAGTTCTTTGGAGATTTTAAGTATCCACATCTTCTCGAATATGTTGTTGTACAGTACTCCTGAAGTATCTATGTTGTAAACAGACCATGCCAAATTACAATCATTTACTTCGTTTTCTTCAAAGCAATGCCCCAGCTCAAAGAACATATTTACTATGTGTTGAAATAAATTACTTATAGAAATAGCTTATTGAAAAACAGTTTTTTTTTTTGTTTTTTAATTTCTATGGATCAATAACAAAATTTTTCATTCACTACAATCTTTTTGTCATCAATTCATGTATGATTCTGTTAGCATAGATAATAAAGAATAATAATGAAAGAAGTATATTTATTGGAAAAGTTCATGTAACTAAATATCACTTTGAAGTCAGCTATGCAAAGGT